GTTGTCCAATTGGAATTTGGAGATTTTAGACTTCTTTATATTGATACCTCTTTGAAGACTTCAAAAATAAGATTATTGCCAGGCATGGTGGTGGTTCACAACTATAATCCCATTCACTCAGAAGACAGAGATCAAGAGGAACAAGGCTCGAGGCCAGCCCAGGTAAAAAGTTATCAAGACCCCATGTCATTAACAAGCCAGGCATGGAGGCATGTGCCTGTGGTCCCAGTTATGTGGGAAGTGGTAGATGGGAAGATCCTGATCTTAGTCTGGCCCCAGGTAAAAATTTGAGACCCTACCTGGTAAAGTCATGGCTCAATTGATAGAGCAACTGCCTACCAATTGTGTAATCTGAGTTTTAACCCCAGTACCAACAAAAAATATAAATAAGTAAAACAAAAATGAGATTTTTTTTCCTCTTCACTCATTTAGCTTAGTTTCTTCATTTTTTTTCTTGCCCTAATAGTGACAATGATGGTACTTTTAACTTTTTATGACTTTTTCTGGGGGGAGGGGTTTGAACTCAGGGCTTCTTACTTGCAAACACTGTGCAGCTTGAGTCTCACCTTCAATCCATTTTGCTCTGGTTATTTTGGAGATTAGGTCTTAAGGACTGTTTGCCCAGGATGTCTTTGAACTGTGATCTTCCTATATCAGCCTCCTAAGTAGCTAGGATTAAAGGTGGGAGGCACTAGCACCTGACTACTTTCTCTGTCTTAATTGGCTCTCTGGTTTGTGACTTTTGTTCTACTCCGTGTTGATAGTTCTACTTCATGGTTTAAAACAGCCAAGATGCCCCACTACTTGACGAATGGATTAACAAAATCTGGTATTTATACACAATGGAATTCTACTCAGCCATGAAGAAGAATGAAATCTTATCATTTACAAGTAAATGGATGGAACTGAGAACATCATCCTGAGCGAGCTTAGCCAGGCTCAGAAGACCAATATTCATATGTTCTCCCTCATATGCAGACTTTAGATCCAGGGAAAATACAGCAATGTGATTGGACCTGGGTCCCATGATAAGGTGAGAACACACATGGGAGGTATAGGGATAGGTAATAAATCCAAAAAACATGATAGTATTTGAGGTCCTCACTGCAGAGGAACTAATACAGAAACTTTAAAGTGACAGAGGTCAATATGAGAAGGGGATCAGGAACTAGAGGAAAGGTCAGTTAGAGATGCATCAACTTAGAATGTAACACATTTATACATCGAAGCAATGCTAGGAATCTCCCTGTATGGCTACCCTTATCTCAACTAGCAAAAACATTTTGTCTTTCTTATTATGCTTATGTCTTTTCTTCAACAAAATTAGAGATAAGGGCAGAACAGGTTCTGCCTGAAAGTGAAGGAGGGGAGGGATGGGGTGGAGATTAGTGGGGAGAAATGGCCCAAACAATGTATGCACATATGAATAAATGAGAAAAAAAGACCTGTCTGTTATTCCCTGGAATGACTAAGCCATGATTTATCTGCCCTCTGACTAAAAGTTCTCAATGTTGTTTTCCTCTGACATCTTTCATGTGTCATCATGCCTGCATCTATGAGGACTTTTCTAGAGTGTAAACACTATCTGTTTCATTTGGATATCTGAATTATCCAAACTATCAAACAGGGGCTTCCAATTAATGCTCACTGTGTCATGCTTAATATCCAAGTGTCATCTTGCAGCCTATAAGAGAATCCATTACCTAGAACTTTCTGGTAACTTCTAAGTCCTTGCTTTTAAAACAAACAAAAATCTGTCTATTTTCCAAATTGGAAGAGAAATGTTCTTCACATTTTTCGAATTTGCAATTTTTTGATATTTGAAAATGTGTGGCAAAATTTTTGCATGTATCCATTCTTGGAACATTCTCCTTTGTAAAGACTCAGTCTACGTAACATTTCCTCAGTTTTCTGTTGGGTTTTTGTTCCTAGTTTGTGGACTGGTTAATAATTTCACATAGCAAGAAAGTCAAGCCAGGTTCCTGTGGCTCACGCCTATAATCCTAGCTACTCAGGAGACAAAGATCAGGAGGATCGTGGTTCAAAGCCAACCCTAGCAAATAGTTCACAAGACCCTATTTCAAAATACCAAATAGAAAACAGGGTTGGCAGAGTGGCTTAAGTGGTGGAGTGCCTCCACAGCCAGTGTGAGGCCCTGAATTCAAACCCCAGTACCACAAAAAAAAAAAGTCAGCAGAGAATCTGCTTTGTGTTTTTCAAAGTTTTTCCGGAGCTTCACTAATCCTTTTAATTTTGGTATTTTTCTCTATCAGAGAAATTAATTTTTCCAAACTTTTAAACTTTTTTAAATGAGTTGTCTTTATATCTTGTGAATTTGGCTTTGACAGACCTCTTTTGTGTGTGTATGTATGATCCTGTTTTGAACTCTGGGCCTCATGTTTGCTAGGTATACACTCTAACACTTGAGCCTTTCTACTAGCCTTGTTTTGTATTGGGTATTATTGAGAAGGGTTTCATGAACTATTTGCCTGGGGCTGAATTTTAACTCCTATTTTCTACCTCCTGAGTAGCTAGGATTGCAGGCATGGCCTCAGGCACCCAGCTGGACCTCTTTTCTTAAAAACAATCTTATTAACAAACCTATTGAGGCATAGTTTACATACCACAAATACACTGTTTGTATATGTGAAATGCCAAGATTTTAATAAATTAAAACATTTCTTCACCTATTGCCACACTGTACATTCAGAAAATTTCTATCACTCCCAATAATTTCTGCTTATAGTTCATTCCAACCCTTGCTACACACCCATCCACTGTCTGTGTGCACATTGACCTCTATATCCACTTCATGTAAATGGAGTCACATGTTATATAGCCTGTTCTGTCTGGTTCCCTTCACTTAGTGTACTCTTTCTGAGGTTCATCCATTCGGCAGCACTTATCATCACTTTGGGCCTTTCTTAGATTGTATTGCATCACTGTTGAATGGTATCGTGTTGAACAGGTTCAACACATGGTGTTTATCCATTTACTAGTTGTCAGGTCTTTGGGTTGTTCCAGTGTGGGGCTAGGATGCCTAATGCTGCTCTGAACATTGTCACACCTACTTTATGAGGACTGCTGTTTAATTGTGTAAGCAATTGCCATTTGTTTTCCAAAGCAGTTGTATATATACTCCCACCAGCAAAGCATTAAAGTTTACAAAGGCTATTTATCTTCAAAGTAATTACAATAATAATCACGATGGTCATATTAATTTAAACCTTTTTATGTTTGAAATTTATTCATCAGAGGTCTGTTTTGTTGAAAGCAATGAGTTAGTAATATAGGATACCAAGATCTTGAAATTCACCAGGTGTCTTTTGTTTACGGATGTAGTACTGGAGTTTGAACTCAGGGCCTGGAGCTTGCTAAGTACGTACTCTATCACTTGAGCCCTGTCCTCAACCCTTTGCTTTTAGTTTGATTTTCAGATAGAGTCTGACACTTCCCAGTACCCTTGCAGGCCTCAGAATGTCAATGTCCTATCTCAGCTTCCTGAGTAGCTAGGATTATAAACATACCACACCACCCACCTCTCCATGTATCTCAAACTAAATCAGAACTGCTTAGATCTAAATTGTCATTAGTTTTGCTAATGTATTTAATCAACAATGAATGAATAGCAGAAGTGTCTTTAGAGTACAGGAATAATAAGTTTTATTATCTTATAAAAAGCAAGTTCTTCATCAGAGCTTTTCAAAAATATAACTGGAAAACTTATCTTCCTTAAAAATTCCATACCATCATATTAAGTTCTAACAAAAAGTGTTTTGCTTATTTTGTTTGATTCTTATGAATGGATGGCACATAATACCCAATATTTCAAGAAAAAAAAAGACTGAAGATGATTCAGAATGCCTCTCATGAATCTGTAGCTCTTCATGAGAAGTTACATAAAAATGCTAACAGTGCAGTGATATCAGGAGGTATCATTTCCCTACCCTAAAACTATTCTTTTCTGCCAGATCCACCTTTTTTTCATTTTGCAGTTTGGCACAGAGCTTTAAGCTTCTTAGGCAGGTGCACAATTAACAGTTTCTTTTTTGCCTTTAGAAGTTGTGAGAATATGTAGTGGTAAGTGCTCTTGTACCAACTCAGGCAAGCTGGCATGCTGTGAATGATTAAGGAGTGAGCTATGAAGATCCAGCATCACTGGACATGTCACTGACCTGCTGACTGAGCAGCCTGTAGATGTATCTAGAGTCAGATGCTGAGACAATAATGAGTTATAGAAAACTAAGTCAGTTATACTGGATTTCCTATTCTCAGCAGAAACCATCTTCATTGGAATATTTGTGCCTTATTTTTAATTCTACCACATAATGCCACACTGTAGTCTCAAATAAAATGAGACAATTCATTTCTTCACTTCAGGGAACAAGGCCAGAGAAAATTTGCAACTGTGAGATCAAGCAGTACAGACACCAATGCCTGCATATCAAATTCCAATAAGAAAGTCTTCTTTGCAAGAATTATGCACAATAAAACTTTAAATACGGCTGATACGAATTCTGAATTTCTTTAAAAGCAGGAGCTGCCTCTGGCAGTGGAGAACTCACATTAAAATGGTATTACACAAACTCGATTATTTGCTTTTTGATTTGACCTAAATTTGAGACTCTTCATATGGATCACAAGAGCAGAGCATTCAATTTCTCAACTAATTCATGCCCCTTTCTCTGAAGCCCATGTAACTATCTTACAGTACCATAGAGGAAAGTCTATGGAGTTTAGATCCAGACACTGACTTGCAGTGATAGTTACACAACATTTTGGGCACATGCACAGAGGCAAGGGTTAGATGCAAAGGAGTCCAGGGGAGAATGACAAAAAGGTGCTAAAGTCTCTACTGGGGCTTCCGGGAAGGGATAGGGGCTGAGAAAGCATCCCACTGGAAATATTCTATAGAATCACTGATCCAGGCCAGAGCCAGGTCTTGAAACTCACTCTCGCTGTGGCAGAATGAGAGCCAAGCATGAAGCATTTTCATGACATGAAGAGACAAGGGACAGAGGTCCTCCTTCAGCACTGTCACCTTCACTTCACCTCAGGAGTCCTGCAGAATACAGAGGACAGTGGTATTTCAGACCTACACCTCTGAATCTGATCTTTCCTTTCTTGAGGCCTCCCCTGATAGCACTGCAGTAAGTAGAGGAAAGTCTCCCTGAGCCAGTACTGCTTCAGAGCAGTTTTTTTATTAAGAGTAGAGAAGGGCTGGGTGTAGTGTAGCAGTACAGCACATGGCTTACTTGAACAGGAATTCAGTTTGATTGCCTGGACCACAAGAACAGAAAACACAAAAAACAAAACAAAACAGCAACAAAAAAAGTTCAGAGAACAATGTTCAGTGCAAACGTCTGCCTGATCAGAAATCTGAATTCAAAGCCTTTTCCAGTACTTCTGCCTCCTGTCTTGTCCTCTATTATAGCAAATCTACTTATGACGGAAGATTAAATGACATTACCTGTTGACTGACCTCCAGAGTATCCTGCAAAAGAAATGAGAAGGTACACAGTTAAATACATAAAGGCCAGTCTATTCCTAAACACAATTTCCTCAGCCTCAGTTCTGCCATTCTGAGATTTCTCTAACAACACAACCCACACCAGCCAGGCAGAGATTGGAACACAAAATGGCAAAAGATAACCCAGGAAGCTTCTTCCACACAAATCCAGTGTAAGTGGTTCTTATTGTTTCAGGTTCTCAAACCTTCTCCCAGAAATGTTTATGGGCCATGAGTCTCAGCCACTAGCAATTTTTTTTTTTTTTTTTTACCTTTTGGGTTCCTGAAGTAGATGAACAGCCCGATCCCAAGGAAGAGCAGACCCAGCACAAAGCCCCCGACTCCACTCAGCATCTTGCTCTGCGCAGATCCCGACTGTGCCCCTGAAAATAGAAGGCAGGGTGAATGATTTCTTTTTCAAATTCTTCTCACCCCATCAAGACCCTGAAAGTCACAGACTTGACAAAGGGGAAGAAGCCAACTTTAGAAGAACTAGGTTTTACCATTCCTTGATACAGGAATTAAAAGTCACACTAAGCAGCCACAATATTCACACAATGAACTTATTTAAATATGACAGACTTGGAATATCACCTTAAGTGTGTTGAGATTACAGAGCTCACAAGGGTAACAGCTAATGAAAGGCAGAGCTGAGACTGGACTTCCCTCACATTAAGAGGGACCATGCATTGCTGCTCTTCTCAGATTACAATGAACTAAGCAGCAGTAGCAGGAGAAACACAAGTCTACTCTGAGACAGAAGCTGGAGTCAGGGCAGAGTGGCTCAAGTGGCAGAGTGCCTGCCTCGCAAGCAAGAGGCCTTGAGTTCAATACAGTATCACAAAAACGAAAAACAGTATCTGATAGGTATGATTGTTCAGGGGCACAGGTGTTTATAGAAACAACACAGGGCCACCCCCAGTGACCTCTGCCAAGGAGAAAAAAATGAAATAAATTAAAATTCATTATAGTAACAGAAACCTGAAATTTTAGCATAAGGACAGAAACCTAGCACTTAGAGTAAGCCTGGTCTCATTTTTCCTGGTGTGTGAGGAACCTAAAGTCAGGGAGCTTCTCACTCACTCCACTCCACTGTGACAGGGATCTTCAGGCTTGGGTGCTCCACCTGGCAGGTGTAAACCTCTCCACTCTGAGGAACTGCTTCCAACATCACCAGGGTCTGGAAGGTCCAGTCTCCATTCTGGATCAGGCCTGTGGACACGACTCCGGCCTCCTCCTCCTCCTGAATATTCTGGAACCATCTGACTTCAATCTGGCCTGGGTAGAATCCACTCACGGAGCAGACAAGGAGGTTGTGCCGATTCAGGGGCTGGGTCTTTGTGGGGTACACAGTGACCTTAGGCTCAACTAGGGGAGAAAAGACAAAGAAAGCAAGTCAGGAAGGCAGAGTAATCCTGCTTGGTCAGCTGCCTCACTGCCTCTGTCCAACCCCAGCCTCAATTCCTTGCAGGCCTTAGGCAAAGGATTCCCTAGGAATTCAAGGAATTGAAAAATTTTTTTTTCAGCTTCAGCTCCCTACTGGAAATTCCATGCTGTCAGTGGAAACGGCCCAGCCAGACCTCTGAAGCCATGAGAAAATTATGTTCCACAAATCACTGGTTAACTGGGGTATACAATAAACTTATATATGCACATTTCTTGCCTTTTATTTCAGATTTTCTAAAAGTTATATCTCTGCTGTGGGCTAGGCACAATAGGATGAGAATTTCTTTCTCCCTAGTTTTGCCCAACACTGTAAATAAGTTCATTTTTCCATTTTTATGCCAATTTGTCTTAATTTTGGTATACATTTGAACCCAAGACAACCCTTACATGTAAGTGCTCCATTTGTTGCAGGTGTTTTGGACCCTAGAACCGAATTCCTGATTTACATAGATCAGGTTGGGCCACTTGCCCCAATATGCCCAATAAAGAGACAAGTAATGATAGATGTTAGAGAAAGGAAATTTAATTGACAGGGCATGGGAAGGCTACTGGAAGAGGTAGGCTATGCATTTCAACCCATCTTCCTCAAGCACACTTTTGCTTTGGGTTTAAATAGAAGAGGAAGAATTCAGGGCAGGGGGAGAGGTAGGCATAAATATCAAGCAGTCCAGTCACATGTGTGTTCTGGTATTCTAAGAGGCTGACAGAAGGGATCATTGTCTCAGGATTGGTGAGGTGAGGCCTTGTTAATAAGAGCCATTGCTTCCTAGCAGGTTGTCTGTCCTGCAGAGGCTCTGCTATTCCTTTCCTTGGTGGTAGTTTTGGTTGTAAATATGTTATTGCATCAGTTCTGTCCCTTCTGAAATCCAAGGTGATTACAGGCAAGAGAAAGATTCAGAGAAAAAGAGACAAATGCAAAATGGAGACAAAGATACCAATCTTTTATGTTGCTTTTAGTTAATTACTGGGCTGTAGTAGGGAGTCAGTCCTTTTCAGCAAGAGCAGCTTTTGAGGGACACTCATGGCTGGTCATGGGGCCTAGCAGGAGCCAGTGTCATGAGTCCTGAGTTTAACCCCCACAGCAAGGACACATTAGGTTTGAGAAATGCAGAGGAAAGATTTTTTTACTATTAACCTTTTTATTATATTAATTGTACAAAGGGGTCTCATTGTGGTATTCCTATACATTCACATAATGACCTTGCCATATTCACCCCTCTATTACTCTTTCTTCCCCCTTTCCTTTTTTTTACGATTTTTAATGAGTTTCAGTATTCTGTTAATGACATGCAGCAGCTAGATATAAGCAATGGCCTCAAGAGAAAGAAAGGAAAAAAAAATCATTGTAATTAAATTTTCCAACTCCACAGGTGACCAGTCTCTGTTAGGATCAAGTAACCAGAGGCCAGGAAATGTCACAAGATGCTTTGAAGTCAGCCACTCACCTAAAGCTTAATCTATTCTTTACTCAAGAGTAATATAATTAAACATCAGCTAGGCCTAGGCCTTTACATAGGTAGTCTCTCTAATTTAACGAGACACAGACCCAGATCCAAGAACTGTACCCTAGGCATCTGATAGAGCAGGAATTGGAGTTTCACACAGAAATTCTCTACCAGATAGAGCAGATAACACAAGTTATCTAAAGCCCAGGCTCCAGAATGCATCCCAGAGCCAAATGGACCTGGAGCTAAGAGTTTCTCTGGAGGGAGCTTTTTTTCTCCCTTTCTTGTTAGAGCAAGCTTTCTCTTTCGCTCCTGGTTAATACTCAACCTAACTGAGGCTAACTGGGGGCAACAGAGATTCAGATAAGACACAGGATAGACAGACAGAAAGTGGGATCAGGTATGCTGGGTGCTTGGGTGGAGATGTGCAACCCTCATTGCTTCTTTTCTCTATCTTTATTCTTTAAGGCCTTACTCCTTGCAGTTCTTTAAAATCTTGCTTCTAAAGTCTTTTCTTAAAACTTCTTCCTTTAGACTCACTCTGTCCCATGTTTTCTTTTAGCTGTTCTTTAGCATAATCTCTCTTAAAGTCTTTTGCCCCCAGGCTTGCACTGTCCCATCTCTCTTTAGCTTTCTTAAAGCCTGGGTCCTCAGACTTGCAAAGCCTGCCTAAAAACTGTATATGTGTAACTCTTAAAATCTCAGTCCTTAGACTGGCACTGTCCCACCTCTCTTTGGCTTTTCTTTAGCTTAGCTTTTCTATAAGCCTATGTTGAAGTTCTCAATACAGACTTTCTATCAACCCCTTTTTAGCAGTTCTTTTCCCCTCAGCAATGTTTTTCCCTTCAGCAATTCTTTTCCCTTCCAAAACCTTCCCACACCAAAAAGCCCCAGAGGAAAAAGAAAAAGCCACAAGCAAAAGCCTCAAGCAAAAGCCCCCATCCTCCTTCAGGGGGTCTTTTATACCCAATGGCAAACATGGTGGAACAGTGGTTCCCAGGGAGGGGCATGACATCGCAACAGGAGAAACCTGTATTACTGTTTCTCTGAACATAAACAACTTAGGAGAAGCAGCTGTTCTGCTGACAGGGGCTGTGCCAATCTTGGCCTAAAAAGTAGAGCTGCATCTCACCTTGCTTATGTCTAGTTCTCATAGGCTTCTCATAATCCTCTCTCCACATTTCTCAATAAATATCCAACTCCAAAAACTGACATCTTTTTCATTCTAGAGATGGCCCTCTTTCAGTGTATTGAAAGTGTATTCCTTTTCTAATAAACTTTACTATTCTTTTAACTATACTTTTGTATCATGCTTGAATTCATCTCTTGCTGTACTGAGATATTTACCATCACTAAACTTTCTGGTAACACCAAAATTCTAGAACAAAGGGAAGCACTTATCCTCAGGAAAATTTAAACCTGGAAGATTTATATCCTTTCATCAGCTGTATCCATTACAGAGACTTGGTCTGTGGGAATCCCAAATTTATTGGCTCAAAAACATAAGATACAATTAAATGAGGGTAGACACAGCAACCAATTAACTTGCCAACTGGTCCAAAAGAAAATGCTTTGCAGAAATGAGGAGGTAGCTATCATAGGTAGTAGACAGACGTGAGCAGTGACAACTTGAGGAAGAAAATCATTATAATTAAACATTTCAACTCCAAGGGTGACCAGTTTCTGTTAAGATCAAACTAACCTACCAAGGTCATGGAATATCATGAATGTTTGTAAGTCTGTCACCCACTTAAAGCTCAATCCTTTCTTTACTGAAGTATAATCCACATCCTAAACATCAGCTGGGCCTGAGGCTGGGAATTTCATGCAGGCAATCTCTTTAATTTAACAAGATAAAGACCCAGTTCCAAGAGTTGAACCCTAGACTTCAGATAAACAGGGAGCTGAGAACTTCACACAGGTAATCTCTTTAATAAGACAAAGACCTAGGACCATAAGCTGAATCCTAGGGATCAAATGGACCTAGGGTTGAAAATTCCCCAATAAATATTTGTTGGGGATAAAGTAGTGTCCATTTGCAAGGCAAAACAGTTAACCCTAAATGGAAAATTACTGATAACTTGCTTACATAGCCACTTGTGGACTTAACAAAACTCATGCAATTGGGTAGTCATGAACAGTATTTTGGGGAGGGCCAACTGACAAGAGAGGGGTAAACTGGGAGGATACACCATGATGAAATGAGGAAATAGGTAAAAACTACGTACCTGACAGAAAGCACATATCACAGGGAGGACTTCCCTCAACAAAGAAACAAAGGAAGATGGAGACAAATACAGTCCACTTCTAAAATTTGACACATCCCAAGAGAGCCATATTGAGGCAGGCTAAAACTAGGGAATGTTCAGGACTCATAGAAAAATATTACATCTTAGATTAACCATACTTTGCCTCAGGAACTGCCCTCACCTGGCCAAGAACCGCCCATCCCCATCCCCACTCATTGATTATTGGATGTGAATCACCTGGTTCTCCTATTCCCATAGGTTATCTAAGGTAATAAAAGCACCTGAAGAGCAGAAGCACACTCTCTCGGCCTCCAGATTCCACCTGGGCCCTACCATGCTCCTCTTTATTTCCCTTTCCTAACTTTTAATAAACTCCATTTACATCCATGTTTTCTGCCATGGATTCTTCTCATGGGAAAAAAAGAATTTGGAAGTCTTCTGATCACAGACTGCACCAGCACTGTTAACACTTTTCATGAAACCAACCAGGAGTTAAAAGCAAGATGCTATGCTTACTTATTTGTTTTGTACTAACCCAACCCTCCCTGTTTTCTGGCCCTGTGCCCCTTCCACACCAAGACTTGCTCCAAGGCCTCCAGTGATGTACCATGTTAACCATTGGTACTCCTCCCCTGATGTGTGGGCCTCTCCCAGTGTATCACCATCTCACCCACAGCATGCTGCTGGGAGATGCTGGGATGCACTGCATTAGCCCAGGGCCATGTAGCACAAGGCATGTGGGAACTATGCACCCCCAAAACCACTGTGGCTGCATCCCGGTAGACACACAGCCAGGGGTGCGGTACTACAGGGGTGGTCAGTAACACAAGGTGCAAGTTTGCCATCTGGTCCAGGTGAAGAGGGTGTTCAGGACAGCCTGTGAGAACTTAGGCACCAGCCATGATAGCTGCTACCTCAGGCAGGACCCCTCTTTCCTGTGGCTGCCATGCATCTGCACCCTTCTTTCTTACCCTCTGCCCTCCCTCATCCCTCTCCTACCTTGTGCCATGCATGCACACACACCCGTGCTCCAGGTCTCTGAGCCTGGCAGGCTAAAGGCTCACTCTGCCAAAAATATGTTGTGTGGAGAGTGCTTGCCAGGGTTTCTAAACCCTGGGCCCAGACAACCATGCGGCTTAGGAGGCATTCTAGCCATGGTTGGCCTTAGCCATGGCAGCCATCTTCTCCGCAACACAGGCTGGTTCCTCTCTGCCAATGCCCCGACATA